TGTGCAACCTGTCTTAGCCAGAACTCTACCTGCCCATCTCAAACTCCTTTGTTTGTTTGTTTTAAAGAAAAAGTGTAGGCGGACTCTCTGGAAAGCCCAGGGCTAGAATGAGTTTCAGAGATGGCAAAGCCTGAGAAATACAGGCCAGACTCTTCTCACTTCAGCTTCTCTGTATTGGCTATTCTCTCCTTGGCAAGTGGGCTCCTTCCATGGGGTGGGGGTGGAGGTGGAGAACGGAGGGTACAACAGCCGTCAGCGTCAGGTTAGTGGGATCAGAGGAGAGACAATGTGTTTGGCTCTCTCTGTTCATATACAGGGAAACCCGAGAGAGCCAGTACTCAAAAGAACTGCCTGTTTTCCCCATCTCACTAGTCTTCTGCCTTGGACAGGGTGCAGTACAACCATACTTCTGTGGCTTATTTGTACAGAAATGAATTGTGTTTTCCTTCATGACAGGTTCTGGCTTTTTCAGGTTTTACTGTATAAAATCCCAAAGAATTCTTTTGATTGGCCCAGCTTGGGTCATAGCTCTCACTCTGGGGGGACCATGGCCAGGAGGGAACGCTACTTTGGCCAAGCCAATTGGGCAATGGGCTAGTGAGGTATCCAGCCACAGGCTGAGGGAGGCGCAACACCCTCTCACAGGAAGTGGGGCATGCTAGGTAGGACAGGAGGTAAATAGCATGGAATGCTGGGAAGACAAGGGCAACAGGGGCCCATGACCCCAACCAGCCTCATCTAGGAAAGATCGAAGCCTATATATTGTTTAAAGACCCCTAAATGTTCACTTAGAGAAAAGCTTATGGGTTTCATTGAGGTTTTTTGTTTGTTTTTTTGCCCTAAGAAAAATGTTCAATCAACCTGATTTTTAATTCTAGCAGGGAGGAGTTAGCCAAAGGCCCACTCTTTGGATACAACCATCTACCTTTTGTACATATATTTAAATATAGGGACATCTGAAGTTCTAAGAATGACCCACATTTCTAATAAATAAACTGACTCTGGCATCTTCTTTTTCCCCCCTGGATTTCTTCATTCACATTGCAGTTCAATGCTTTTTAAACTTTTTCCAGGCTTAGGCTGGACATCCTCAATTCTAGGTGAAGCTGAGGTTTTAATTTCCTCCCCCTACCCCTCCTGTCCCATCTGCTTTCTCTTGAGAGCTTCAACACTCTTCACTCTGAGGTTCACCTGAAGTCAACAGGAGGTGGTGACAACCTGTAAGGTGTCTGAGTTTGGGAAAGTTACCCATGATTATCACATGGCATATTTTCACTTTGTCTACATTTCAGGGAAAACCTGGAAAAGATGGCGCCCCTGGTTTCCCTGGAACTCAGGTAAAGAAATCATTTGGCACTTTGAGGCTGAGAGAATGTTGATACTACCTTATGAAAGATTTTTAGTCAACAAATAGTTATATGTGTGTGTGTGTAGTAGGAGGTACAAGAAAAAGAGGGAGACCCTCAACAAGACAGATGGGCACGGTGGCTGCAACAGTTGGCTCAGTAAAAAATAAAAACAAAGCAAAAAAACAGTGGGCTCAGTCATAACAATAATTGTGGAGATCAGGACCAGGCAGGGCTTCCTTCTGTCATACAGAGGATCGCCATGAGTTTCAATTCTACGGCACCAACCCAGTGGCACCTCAGGACACAAGTTGTTCAGGCACAGCTGGTAGTGCAGTGGGCAAAGTGTGGGGCTGCTAACCAAAAGGTCTGTGGTTCAAACCTACCACCAGGAGGAAGAACAATGAGGCAGCTTGCTTGCATAAAGACTTACAGCCTCAGAAATCTTTTGGAGCAGGTCTCCTCTGTCTAACAAAGGCCTGTGAGTTAGGATGGACTGAATAGCAGTGGGATAGATGGAAGCAGGTAGTCTCCAGTGGTGCATGTCATCCATATGTCCAGCTCCTAACCGGAGGTTGGCAGTTTGAATTCATCTAGATGCACCTCCGAAGAGAAGTCTGCCCAATAACCTTCCCCAATCCCAACCATGGAGAACCGTAGGGAGCAGAGCTCTACTCGGACGCACATGGGATCAGAATTGACTCTATGGGAACCACTGTGTTCGTGTTTCTTTGTTTTGCTTAGTGGTCTGACATTCATAGCGACCTTAGAGGACAGAGTAGACCTGCCCGGTGGGATTCCAAGACTATAACTCTTTGTAGGGTCGCTAAGAGTCAGAATTAACTCAATGGCAACCAGTCTTCTAAAAGGAAAAGAGATCCCACATTCAAATATTTATCGAGGCACATTTAGTAAGTCTTAAACAGGACAAAGGCATGACACAGACAATCATTCGGATGAGAGAGATGATCCAGCATGAGGTCTAATGGGGTCCAAGGATTCTGAGTTATGCAATCGTGGCTATGGAAATGCGATTTGATATGGAAAACAAAGAGAACTGTCACAAAAGTCATGCTTGGTGGCACATCAAGTCATCACAATTGCAGGGAGGATTGCCCAAGCAGGAAAGGGACCATGATAGGAAAGGTATACTCTTACAGATTAGAAACGCTTATAAGATTGATTCAGAGCCTTCTGACCAGGGCAGTGAGAGTAGGACTCATGAGTATTCATTCCTAGTACCCCCATTTTCATCAAGGGCACACCCAGTCAAGTCCCTGAGGGCGGGCCCAGGGAATGGCAGTAATCTGATTTAAAACACACTCTGCCTGAGGTCAGATCTTTTCACATTTCTGTCAAGGGTCAGAGAGACCTTGATAGGATCAGAATCTACAAGGAATCCAGGGCGGATGATCCCTTCAGCACCAGTGGTGTGAGTGGCGATACTGGGAGGGTAGAGGGAGGGAGGATTGGAAAGAGGAAACTAACTACAAGGATCTACATATAACCTCCTCCCTGGGGAATGGACAACAGAAAAGTGGGTGAAGGGAGACGTCGGCAAGGGCAAGATATGACAAAATAATAATTTATAAATTATCAAGGATTCATGAGTGAGGGGAAATGATGAGGAGTTGATGCCAGGGGCTTAAGTGGAGAGCAAATGTTTTGAGAATGATGAGGGCAATGAATATACAAATATGCTTTACACAATTGATGTTTATATGGATTGTGATAAGAGTTATATGAGTCCCTAATAAAATGATTTCTTAAAAAAAGGGAGATGCAAAACTGGGTTGAAGGAGTCCACTGAACTGTAACCTTCCAAAAACTTACCGGTGCTCAGAATTTAAGATGGAATACCTGTTCACAGGCTGCCATCAAGTGGATTCTGACTCCAAATAATCCCATGGACAGGGTAGAACTGCCCCTGTTTACACAAACAGTAACTCTTTATAGGAGTAGAAAGCCTCATCTTTCTCCCCAGGACCTACTGGTGGTTTCGAACTGCTGAGCTTTCAATTAACAGCCCAACATGAACGCACTTCACCAGGGTTCCTCAAGCTCTAATACAGTAGTTTACAATCGAGCAAAAAGTGTAGAATGTCTTTTTGGAACTACATTAGAACCATAGTTTGGCACACCCATTGCAGACAGGTATTACATACGCATTCCCTTTTAATACAAGAGGTTGAGCATGTTGCTGTTTCCTACAGAAGCGGTGTATGATCCAGTCTCTTCTATTTTACCCCTTTCTTTAGGGAGCCAAGGGCAACCAGGGCTTCCCTGGATTAACGGGTGAATCTGGCATTAAGGTAACCCCCTCTCTAATATGCTAATATCTTACCTTTAGCTTTGAAAAAAATGTTTAGGTCTTACCTATCCATTCTTTCTGCTCCCTATACTGTGCACCTAACTAACTTAATTCAAGGAATCGTAATCATGTGTTTTATTAAAATGCCTATTTGAGCCATTGCTTTTTTTCCCAGTGAGTATATTTATTAAGAAAAAAGAGAGAGAGAGATAACAACTTGGCTTAAACGTTTGAAGGGCAGTTTTATGGGAAAGATATTAAACTCAGTCAATGTAGCTACAGGAGGAAGATGTGAGGCCACTGTGTTTCTGTATCCCCTTGAAGAGAGATGGGAAAAGGCCTACAGGCATCAGAATTTTTTTTGCAGGGGGGCGGGGCAAGAAGTCAAGGATAGGCTGGACCCAACACTTTTCCACCTGAGTCACAATACACTAGAGGGTTGAGATCAATTAATTATGAATTATATTGTGATTCACTGACGTCTGATAACACATGCTGCACATTTCCCAATAATTTTCATGTGTATGCATACATGAAAACTCAAGATTTATCTTAAAATAATACCGTTCCCAATCAATTAAACTCTGAAACGCACTCTTGGGGTAGAAAGGGGTGATTGCAGCGAGGGCGCTGGTTTCCAGCCTCTAGTCTGGGTGAGAACACGTGAGTGTGCAGGCCGGGTGAACATTAGCCGTGGAAGCAGCTGGGACAACCACGAGGGGCACAGCAGTTATAGAGCAGACTCCGGGTCTTCAATCTTAAATCAGCTTTCCTCCAACTTGGTTTGCACATTACTTTGAGCATCAATTTGTTGGCCAATCACACTTTTATTTTTAAATATGCCAAGTAAGTCCTTTTCATGAATATGCTCATGATTTATAACTCTCTTTTGACACAGGGCTGGAAAGGGGACCGTGGACCTCCAGGATTCCGTGGTCCAGTAAGTGTCGTGTTTTAATGACAATATCAATGTCAAATTCTATTCAGTCCCTCAAAATATTAAAATCGATATCTTTCATTAGCTGCTGCAAACCAGGATAGAAATAGCTGTTGTCATGATTTGACGATTTGTGTTTTCTTTTTGACCCCTGGAACGTTCCTGTGATCCCCATCCTGGGCTTCAGAGGAGAGAGCCTGAGTCTCATCAGACCTAGTCCAGGGTTCCCTTGCACCTTCAGGGTGGGAAAGAGGGCAGCTGGGGCAATGGAGGGTGATGGAGCCAGCTCTCCCCATCCCTTTACCTGGCCTGTCTATGGCTGCATCTGCTCAGCCATGGATCCAATGCAGGACCGGGGAGGACCGGTTACCCAAGCTCCGCTACAATGGGCATTTCTCCACTTCAGTGTGGATGTGGGATAGGTGAATGCTGTCAGCCCCAGGGTGGCCACATTCTGTATCCTGTGGCCCTGCAATCTAAGGAAAGGGACGAGGGACCCATGCTGGGAATTCTGAAATTTGTATATCCGACTCAAAAGGTGGTTGTAAGCAATAGATGTGTACAGAAAATGATGTCAAGTTGGCCCCAACTCTTAGCGACCCTATGTCCTCCATAACAAAACATCTCTGGGTCCTGTAGCATCCTCACAATTGTTCTTATGCTTGAGCCCATTGGTGCAGCCACTATGTCCATCCATCTCAGCAAGCATCTTCCTCTTTTCTGCTGCCCCTCGGCTTTAGGAAGCAAGGTGTCCTTTTCCAGGAACTGGTCCCTCCTGACAATATGTCCAAAGCTTTGTAAAATGAAGTCTTGCCATCCTTGCCCTCGATGGAGCATTCTGGCTTTACTTCTTCCAAGACAAATGTGTTGGTTCCTTTGAAAGTCCATTCAATGTTCTTCGCCAGCGCTATATTTCAAACACCTTGATTCTTCTTTGATCTTTGTTTTTCAATGTCCAACTTTCACATGCATGTGAGGCAATTGGAAATACATTGACTCGAATCCATCACACCTTAGACCTTAAAGTAACATCCTTGTTTTGTTAACCCTTTAAAGAGATTTTGTCTAATGGATTTACACAATGCAATGTGCTGTTTTATCTCTTGGCTGCTTCTTCCATGAGCAGTGATTGTGGATCCAAGCAAGATGAAATCCTTGACAACTTTTCTCCATTTATCTCGATGCTACCTATTGGTCCAGTTGTGAGGATTTTAGTCTTCTTTGCTTAGAGTTTTAATCTGTACTGAAAACTGCAATCCTTGAACTTCTTCAGCAAATGGGTCAAGTCCTCCTCAATTTCAGCAAGCAAGATTGTGTCATCTGCCTATCAAAGGTTTTTAATAAGCCTTCCTCCAATCCTGATACCCTGTTCTTCTGCATCAAGTCCAGCTTCTCTGAGTATTTGCTCAACATATGACTTGATGGCAGTGAGTTTGATTTGGGGGTTGGTTGACTAGTTGTGGTGAGAGGGTGCAACCATGGCTCATGCCTTCCCCGATTTTAAACCATGCGGAATCCCCTTGTTATATTCCCACAACTGCCTCTTGATCCATGTTCAGCTTCCCCATGAGTATGATGAAGTGTTCTGGAATTCTGTTTTTCAAGCCTATACAGAGTTTATTTTGGCCCCTACAGTCAAATGTCTTTGCATAGTCAGTAAAACACAAGTAAATATCTTTCTGGTATTCTCTGCTTTGAACCAAGATACATCTGACCTCACCATTGATATCCCTGGTTGTATGTCTTCTTCTGAATCTGGTCTGAATGGCTGGAAGCTCCCCGTCAATGTATTGTTGCAATCATTGTTGACTGTTCTTCAGCAAAATGTTACTTGCATATAGCAATGATATTGTTCTATAATATGTGCATTCTGTTGGTTCACATTTCTATGGAATGGGTCCAAATATGGATCTCTTCCAGTTATTTGCCAAATAGTTATCTTCCAAATTTCCTGGCATGGACCAGTGAGTGCTTCCAGTGCTTCATCGGCTTATTGAAACATTTTAATTGGTATTCTATCAATTCCTAGAGCCTTCTTTGTGGCTAATGTCAGTAACTAATTCCTCAGAAGTGGACGACCTACTCCTCCTTCATAGTCTCTTCTGAGTCTGGAAGCTCTGCTGAAACCTGTTCTCTTTGGGTGACCCTGCTGGTATTTGAAAATGCCAGTGATGCAGCTTCCAGCATCACCATAGCACATGGGCCATCACAGCAGGACAAACTGACAGATAAGTAGTAGAGGCACTGCCTGGGGCTATGCAAAAAAAAAAAAATTAAATGTGCTGTTCACATGTCCTAGGGGGAAATCATCACACAATTATAATAGTGAGAAAAAACAAAATTTTATTCAACATATGCTACAAAGAGAGGTGGGAATCAGGCTCACACCCCATCAAACAAATGTCAATCCCAAAACAGTAATACTGGATTAGCAGCTTATGTGCAGATTTGGTGGTGGTGTAAGTCTTTCAGCAAAGAAATTCAATCTGCATTCAAAGCGTTAGTCAGACAGATAGTCTTCTGTTGATCCAGCAGGTCAGACTTGGAGAGGATCCAGGAGATAACTCTGTTCTTTCTTAGGCTTGAGGGGTTCTCCCTCATGTCTACTTTCCTTATGCTGCGCGTGTGTTCCTGCTTCATCTGTCTTTCTCTTAGGGAACCTGCTCCTTCCTCCCTGACTTCCCGGGTTCCCAGGGAGATCACTGCCACCTCTGTCTCCTGGTGACTTTGCCTTGCTGGTTGGGTGTTCACAAAGTGAATGTGGAGTCCTTGGGCTGGCATTAGGACTAAGTCAGGGCTTAGAGAGAAGCCAGGGCTCTTGCTGGAATGCCATTGGTTTTAGTATCGATGCAAATGTAACATGAGTGATTCTGGGAGCCTGTTGAGAGTAAGTCAATTCAGGAGAAGGGAAGAAGGGAGGACAAGAGTATGTTTTCAATACTGGTTGTCGTTCAAGGAGGAACACTCGGGGCACAATCCCTCCCGAGAGTCTTGAAAAGTAAGGAGGTTACTTTGAGGACCAAGGTGCATCTGACCCAACCCATGGTATTTTCAATTGCTTCTTGTGCATGTGAAAGTTGTTCATTGAATAAAGAAGACTGAAGAAGAATTGATTTTACTTGAATTGCAGTGCTGGGACAGAATGGTGAAAGTACCATGTTCCACTAAAAGGACAAACCAATCTGTCTTGGAAGAAGTATGGCCAGAGGCAAGGATGGTGAAAGTGCGTGGTATTTACTTCAGACATGTTGTCAGGAGAGACCAGTCCCTAGAAAAGGCCATCATGTTTGGTAGAGGGGCAGAGGAAAAGAAGAAGTCCTTCAAAGAGATGGATACACCGTGGCTACAACAATGGGCTCAAGCATAGAAACTTTGTGAGGCTGGTGCAGGACCGGGCAGTGGTTTGCTCAGTTGTGTATAAGGTCGCTGTGGGTTGGAACCAACTTGATGGAACCAACTTACTAACAACAACAACATTCAAGGAGACAGGGATCTGCTCTGGACAAAACCTTTCTCCTCAAACAATAGGTTGTTCTTGTTCTTGTTAGGTGCCACCCAGTCAGTTCTGACTCGTCGTGACCCCTCTGTCTGTCCTGCTCCATCCTCACAGTTTCTGTTTGTAGCCTTTGTGTCCCTCCATCTCCTTTCTGGCTTTCTCTGCATCTTCGCCATTCTTCCTCACTCTCAAGAAACTCTGCTTGTTTAAGATACAAAGGACGGGTGGGCGGGAAACAAAGAATAGTCACCAATCCTTAGGTTGGCGTGTCCCGAAATTTAGAGAAGCAACATTTATCAGTATTTTTTTCTTTCTTTTTTTTAAGTGTAGAACCCAGAATACTTAGAAATAAATGTAGTAGGTCAAGACCACCATTTTTTAAAAGAAAACTACTATAGGAAGAAAATAGATCAGAGTACATCACGTAGGAAACTTTAATTTCCCATATATACACAAATGCCTAGTTGTAAATCCAATACAAAATACCCCTTTAATATATTTAAAAGCAAAGGTATTACTTTGAGGACTAAAGTGCTCCTGGTCTGAGCCAGGCGATTTTGAATAAGGAAGACCAGAGGAGAAGTGAGCCCTTTGAATCATGGGGCTGGCAAACAATATAGACTATCTCGAAGCTACTTAAAAAAACAAAAACAAATCTGTCTTAGGAGTACAACCAGAATGCTCCTTCGAAGCAAGAGCAAGGAGGCTTCATCACACTTCTCTTCGCCATCCTTTCAGGAGGCACCTGTGCCTGGAGAAGGACATCTTTCAGGGAGTGAGCAAAGGAGAGGCAGACCTTCAAGGAGATGGAGGGACGCCGTCTTTGCAACAATGGGTGCAAACGTGGTGACAATTATGAAGACAGGGCAGGATCGAGCATCATTTTGTCCCGTTGGTCATGGGATCACGTGGGATCACACTGTGTCAGAACTGACCAGATGATGCTTAGCAACAACAACATATATTGTATTTCTTCACATATAAAGTGCCCGGACAGATAACATGCACATACATAGAATGTGCATCGTGCACAGGATTAGCGTTAGGGTTAGGAAACTAAAACGCAAGGGGGTTATGGTTTGCACTAATAAAAGTCGATTTATAAATAGATATATGCAAGCGGGTCCACACTGCAAAATTAGCTAAAAGTCCGTGAACTATTTAATCTATGACACCATAAAGATCTGATTTTATGTATAGATTTATCCATTTACACATATATAACCCACGTAGCCCTCCTAAGAAATAAACCTATAAATTCAGGAAAACATGAAAGTATTTTATTGGACAAAAAGAAGGCCAAGGTACTAAGAAAGAATTGTGTTTGGGTCCGTTGCCCATGCATAGCTCCCCATGCTCTTCATACTTTCTCTCTCCTTTAAGACAGAATATTATGACGCATTCCTGGAAAGGGGAGATGAAGGAAGGCCAGGCCCACCAGGGCCCAAAGGAGCTCGTGGCCCCCAGGGTGAGAACACGTGTCTTCCTAGAGCGTTTGCTTAGCATGACAGCAACTTCTGTAAGGTGAGGTAGCCCAGGAGCTGACACACTCAGGATGTGTTGTTGTTGTTACTAAAATACATAGGACCCAACGTTGGGCAATCCAGTGTTTTTCACATGTCACTTGAATGACACCAATATTAATCATGTGTGCCACCACCACCAATTGCCCAGTTCCTTGTCACTAAAAACAGAAACTCAGTGATTCTTAACTAGTGACTCCCCTAACCACAGCCCCATATATTGTTCAGTCTGGACAAGAGGAGGGTCTTGAGCACTGGTATATATATATATATATATATATATATATATATATATATATATACACAGAGAACCCTCGTTTATCACAGTTAATCGGTTCTAGACCCTACCGTGATAAATGAAATTCCGCGAAGTAGGATTCCTTATTTGTAAATCAAATATTTTC